GATGGAAAGACGGGTCCTGCTACTGCCCAGAACAAGACTGAAGTCACTTATCACTTTAAGCATTACTGCTTAGGGCAGGGAATTGCACTTTTGTGCCAAATACAGAAATATCTCCTCTCAAAAGTGTACTTTAATCAGAGGGTGCCAGGCAATTTTTAATTTTTTTTTTTTTTTTATAATGAAGAAAAGGTAATAACTGATTTTCTGTACTCTGCATCTTTAAGGAAAAGGAACTGTAATGTACAATTTGGTAGGACTCCAGGCACAAGAGGAAATGGGTTATAGCAGTTGTGACTGTGCAGAGCAGATGTTTTGGTTGGCCTGGCTATCAACCATCTGACTCATAATAAATTGTCAGTTCCAGTAAATTCCCAGTTTTCAATTACAGTAGGTAGGATATGAGAAAACAATGCCGTTTGGATAGTGTATTTAAAGTGGTTTTGATGGTAATTGTCATAAACAACTCCTACTAACTTTGTAAAAAGATTAAGGATCTTGGAAAGACAGCAGCTTGAAACATGCATTTGAATGTAAATTGAGATTAATAGAAATGAAAACTAACAAATGGCTGTTAACATAGTGCTGATACAATTGGAAATAGAATTTTAAGTTTTTCTTTGGAATTTTGTGTTACTCAAAGTCTTTTCATAGGTATATGGGCAGAAAAATTTCTCAGTGTCTTCAGACTTCCATTTTCATCTGTTCTGTTCTTCATTTATATTTTCACATTTTCTCTTGTTCTTGTATTTTGAAAATGCATACTTAATGAACCTTTCGTCTGCACTGCCTAGGTAGAAAATGGGTGAATTAAAATCGAATACCATGAGTTTTCCGTTTATGAAAAGTTTTATTTGTTTCTGTGAATTGTTGCTAGGTTTCTGTAATAGAACAAAAAGCCTATGGGTTGAAAGTATCTAAATTTTTCGTTGTTCTTTTCTCACCACATTGCTTTGGAGATTTAGACAAAGATGAGGTCCCATTGTGCACAGTATTCTGTAAACATAGGAAACCCCTTGCAGTTCTTGAGAAAGAAACTATTTATTTTCAGTGTTAAGGGGTATATCCATTTTTTTCATGTTTAGTTTCAAAAGATATTTTCAGAAATGAGAAAATTTTTTTTTTTTAAAAAGACATAGTAGCAAGATGGCAGAAAGGTACTGTGAAAATCTCTGTTGGATCTTTTATATTGCAATGTTTTAGAGGCTGGTTTTTTTTTTTACCATCAGGCATGAGACTGTTGTGGAAAAATTAATAGGTGTGCACTATCACATGTTTAACTAATGATCTCAAGTATTTTTACATTCAGTTTTTAAACCTCAAAATTCCTGTGGCCCAGGATGGGTTCTCTGTTCAGTTAGAAGTTCATTTTAATAATACCTTCTAGAGAGTCTTGTGTAGAAAAAGTTCTGTGAGTATAAAATGGCATTTTCATTACGGCGGTTCTAACCTTGAAATTTAACATTCATAGAAAATTGCCATTCTGCGTTCTTATGAAATCAGTTGCTCTTGAATATAAAATTAATTTGTTTAATAAAAGCATCTATTGTGTTGTGAGTTACATACAAATTAGAAGATGAAAAAGCATGGATGCTTAAATACTAAAAAATGAGATGTGACTTTCGTTCAGCAGCCTCTTTTTTTTTTTTTTTTTTCCCTATAAGGGTATAATATTGCCAGAGCAGTGGGACATCACTCTATCTCTTGAAGCCAGCTGAAAAACAAGAATAGAGGTGACTTTTACTTTGCTGCTCTATTCAGATCTGATATATTCTTCCATATAAATACATATGCAGAAATGGGAAGAAGGAAGATGCTGTCTGTGGAGGGGTTGATAAGAAGCATTAAACCAACATTTGCCTTTGGATACTATGGTGCAATGAAAAGATCGCAGCCCCTGTTCTGGACAAGTGTCATGGCCTGGTATTAGAAGGTTCCATCTTCTCACCTGATCACTTACTGGTTTTTATAGATGACTAGGGCAGAGATCACTGAAGGAGTTAAGTTGTAACTGGCACAGACAACATCAAAAAAGTAAAAAGTTTATTAGTTGAAAAGTTTTCCACAGTTTATCTGTAAGACATGTGGTTTTGGTTTGGTTTTATAAACGGCAGTTCTAACAGATATACTAGTGTCAAATGCAGTTCTAGCAAGCAGCTTCATCCATAAATAAAAGTCACAAAGCCTGAAAGGAATAAATGGTATGGTGTCAGATAGAACAGAGTTTGTTATAAATCGGTGGCCACCTGAACAATAAGGTTGAGCAGATTCATGGTGTTACTGCACTGTGTCTTTTAAAACCTACAGGAATGCTGGTTTTGGGTTAGGAGTCTTCTTTAAGTAACAATTTTTATTTCTCAGGGCTGAAAATATGCATCCATTTGAAAAGTGGTAGTTATAGAAGAATGCTGATTTCTTTACATGGATTTGCATTGGACAGTAGCTGTATGAACATAACGTGGTGCTCTGCTGGCAGCAAGAGTTGCAGTCATGTTTGTTGTGCATATTTTTGTAAATGGAAAAATATAATATCTCAATTTATTGCTCTTACTTCACATTTCATTTTACTGCAGCTTAACATGTAAAGATACAGAGATGATTTATGTGGTTGTGTGGGTTTTTTTTCCTCTGGCATGAGCCTTCATATGAAGTTCACTAGTGAGCACAGGAAATATAATGTAATATATCTGTATGTCTTAATGGATGCTGTAGTGGCATTCACCTAGTCTGTTTTGAAGCTGGGTTTTTCTGTTTCCTTCTTTTGACTTTCTTCCATCAGTAAGCACCTGATAGTATTGCAGAAACTGGTCTTGCACATGATGTCAAGCAGTGTGTGCACATCTACTTTTAGCACTAATCATAAATGCAAAACTAAAGAGGGGATTTACTGTCCATGGCAGAGCTACCACAGGTGGGGTCACAGCAGAGCAGAGCAGGAGGGCAGAATCCCCTCTCTGGTCTATGTGACAACACTGCTTTAGACCTGGCCCAGGATACAGTTCTGAGCTGCAAGCACAAGTCACAGGGTTACACTGAGCTTCTCATCTAACCCTGAGCTTCTCATCAACTTAACCATTTTATGTACCTGTCATCTCTTGAAGAATGCCCATTAAAATAAAATCTTTTTAATTGTTATTAGCATTAAAAGCGTTGCTGTGTAATCTCTCTTAGTAGTTCTTTTCGTTTGATTGACAATTAGCAAATCAATGGGAAAAAGCCAATTAATGCTATACTCAGTTTCAGGATTGAAAGCTGTTTCTTATTTAATTTTTTTTTCCTTAATGATGGAAATAGATGAAATACTGGGGAAAAGGTCAGGGTGGATTGTACTCTTGGGTATATTTTGTTATTTGTCTTGAAGATGAAGGTTTTTGTAATCTGTTCTGTTTTCTCCAGTCCAGATGATAGTACCACTTAAAAATGTAACACTCAAGGGAACATTTTGGGTCACGAGGTCCTGCCTATTCCTGTTACGGGCAACCACGTCATATTATGCCATCCGTAAACTGATCATATTGCAACAGGACAGCTATTGTTTGTGCTCACCACTCATATGGAGTGTTGTCCTGGAACTTAGGGTTAAACCATGCTCTGATTTCCAGCTATCGTGTGCTTGTGACCATTTCACAGGCAGTTCTAAGAGCAGCGTTTTCTTTCATCTGTCAGAAGTGAGCTGCACACCAAGGCAGAATTTAAGAAAACACTGTCAGTTCTGTCTCATTTTTCATCTAAGACAATTAGGCTTTTTTAAAACCCATTCTTCCCTGCAGCTTATCACTAAGTTTCTTGGCATGTAGTGTTCTGCACGTAATAGCTGGTATGCAGCTCGTCTCTCTGGATGTTAACAGCTCCAGTCCTGCCAGATCTTCAAATGGCACGAGATTGTCTTCCTGAAACCACTCAGCGGTCACTTAATTTTTGTTCTCCCCACATAAGGCAGAGCCTCCTAAGAATATTTAAGTGGTTTGCCTGTTCCTTCCTCACAGCAGCCTGTGGGACAGAGCATACCAGGGCACTCTGCACCATGTTGATCCTGCTTTGAGCACACATCTTATTTCCTCTCCTATTTTTCCAAAACGGATAAGAACAAAGGCATCTTGGCAAGTTGCTATGTACATATGAACAAACATGTTGAAGGATTTATTTCTGAGCAGAAAGTGGCACTGCTGTCAGTGAAGGTGACTGTGCTGCTAACTCATTACCGTCTAACTAGAGGTCAAGAGCTTAAATGAAGTTGTGCGTGGCAGAAATGCACTTGTTATATAGTGTATGTGATTTATGAATTGGAGGGATGTGAGGTCCTAACCAGAAACAATTTGTTCTAGATGATCTCAAAGCTGTAACTGGTTGTTCTGATATAAAGCAAGCCTTAATTGTGAATGCATTGAGGTTAACTTGTATTTAGCATACTTTTTTTTTCCTACAGTACTCTCCTGGAGTCTGCAGTCTTTGCTGAAAGTAATGCATAGGTTTAATTTGCAGGAGTCTGGGGGGCAGTCTTCTGGCAGACTTCTGGATACAAATTTCTAATTGCAAAAATGTTTTTCATCCACAACAGGAGTTGAATACAATACACTAACAAGTTTGAACCATAAACTACTTTGAAAAATTACAAATACAGAATATGTGATCGTAACTCAGTGATATTACGACATTTGAAAAAGTCCTTTGGCATTTGCATCTGATGTAAACCAGGAATTCCTAAAAACAAAATCTGTATCTTTACTGAAATTTATAGTTCACCAAATTGAAGAAAAGCTACAGTACTTCATAACTCAGTAATTTTATTTTGGTATATTAAAGGAAATTAAGCAGATCTAAATATCTTTCAAGTGCCAATATAGTAAGAATAAATTTGCAGCCTGTTTTGCAGTGGTTACAGTTCAGATTCCTCACTTAAGCATCTCCTAAATAAATTCATATCTGACTTACTAGTTCTTATCTGTAAGCTTTTAAATATTCCGTTTGTTATTTACCATTTTATATTGCTTTTATATGTACAGGATGTGAATGAAGACCCTGGAGAAGATGTTGCGCTTCTCTCCGTTAGTTTTGAGGACACGGAAGCTACTCAGGTTTTTCCTAAGCTGTACCTCTCCCCACGTATTGAACAGTGAGTGAGAGGATTTTTCTGGAATGTTTTATTCTACTTCATCTCAGAACTTCAGTTTTTTTCCTGATACATGTGATAACATGCTAGATCATAATGTACTCTTATTTTGAATTGCTTAAAGTTATAGTGACTGCTGCAAGTGTGTGTGTGTGTGTGGTGGAGAAATGGCAGATCTTCTCTCAGCTAGTTCTGTTTGTCTGTGATATTCTTGTAGCATCACAATCTCTGAAAACCATATTTGTCCTTTCCTGTGGCAGTATATTTTGAATGCCTTCTATGGTAAAACATAGTGATAGCTTTTGTGGGGGGGAATCTTTAATTTTTTCTTCTTTTGAGAAGGTAAGTTCTTTATATAAACATAATACATTTGAATAACTATTTTTGTAGAAGCTAAAGGGCTTGGTTAGCTATGCTTTTGGAATTTGCAGTGTTAGTAAATCACTTTTTTCAGAAGAATATCTGAATATTTCGTTTCAAGAGCATTGAACCTTACTGATCTGTTTACCAGTGGGCAGATTGGCTGAGAAATTGATTTTTACTCCTAAAATGGAAGACTGAGTACTAAAAAATCAGTCTGTTATCATTAAATTTCTTTTCTTCTTTTTCTGAAATTGAGAATGTTTCAATGCTTCTTCTTGTCTTCAGTATCTCGGTCTTCCAATACTTAAAAAAATAACTACTAGACTTTTCAGGTATACCACATTCACACTGGTCTAGCACTGTTTCAGTGATATATCTTTTTTGCTAATAGGGCAGTTGACTTTCCTCTCAACTGGTGATGACTTCTGTGTAGAGGAAAAATGGGAAATACCATCTACCACAATTTTATAATAACTTGGGAATAAAGTTTGTGTGAGTGAAGAAACATAGCATCTTGACATTTTGATCAACAGAATATTTATCTGGATAAACTCTTGGATGCAGTTCAGAAATTAAAAACAAGAATTTGACTTAGATAAAGGCATAAGACTTCCAAGATACTTCAGGAAAATGTAGGATATACACATGCATGTGCAAACACACAGATAATGTATTTAGTAGCTTTCACATTTTCATATTTTCATCAATTCATTCTTTTTGTCAGCATCAGTTGAGGGAATAATTGTAGTCAAATATGTAATTATCCTTCTGTGTTCCAAAGGATTCTTTTTCTGAACTCTTAAAAGCAAATGATCTACCATTAGTTTCCATTGTATTTCCAGCTGTAGTCACATGTTGATGGTTAAATATGTTTCAGGCCACCCAGGTATATCTGTCTAAATCATCCCTGAGCTAATGAATACATTGCTTATTTTCCCACTATCAGCAGTATCTTTAGAAAAATGTTAACCTCTTGATACCTAGCAGAATAGCAATACAAAAGAAGTCTTTGTCTTCCTAGAAGTATTGCATTTTCTCTCAGTGCCCTAAAGAGCATCTGATTTTAGATGTGTGATGTAGAGCGATACTGCAGAAAGATACTTGAGTGGTATTGGTGTTTTTGACATTCTGATACATTTATGGCTTTTGTCATTTATAGCAGATGCAGTCATGTCAAAATCATGCCAAGTAAACCCTGGAATTCTCTGCCACGCCTTGTCACCTTATCTGTGTGTTGAAGTTGAGATATTTAATTAAGTCAGTCTGTCTTTCCGCATTTGTAATATTTTCATCACAGTATCTAGGTACTGATAGTGCATAATTACTGAAGTTGCTTTTGAGCTGTTGCACTTCCCTTTATGCTACTGGCTACTTCTTATGTGCCATGAAAAAATATATGGGTATGTTTCCACTGTTTGTATAATTGTGCTTTAATAGCAAACATACAGTTCTCTCTTGTTCTTTCCCTAAACCAGTCTCTGCTGTGTTTAGCAGGGGCTGACAGGCTAGATATTTAATTTCCCAGTGTTTGGGAACTGAAGCAACAATGTGTACTTCTTTATACTTTTTGCCAAAAGTACAAAAAGCCTCAAGAAGCCCTGAGGATTAGTTTAATGACTTGAGGCCATGGCCATATTACATTTGAATTGTGTTCTGCTTATAAAGGTCTTTCCTGCTGCTCACAGTAATTGGATCTACAAAAGCCATGTAAACAAATTACCAGTGTATTTTTTCTATGCAGCAGATTTTGAGGTGAACCAAGTAGTAGATAGTTCCCAACATAACATTCCCAAGAACTCAACAAAATGTGAAAAATACCGAATTCCCACAATTATTTTGCTAATACTAAAATGCGTTCACTTTAGGAAGAATGAGCAAACAGGAACAGCATTTTCCTGACATGTGAAATAACATTTCAGGTTTGTATAGCAATAAGAGGAAAAGGCCCTGTTTGTGTAAAGTGAATTATCTCCCGCTTTCCCAAGAGATTTCATTGCTCTTGTGCTCTGCCATATAAACACGCATTCCCCTTTCTAAAAATGATACATACCCACAGATCTTGTCAGCAAATTTGAGCCCTGGAAATGTGACTATAGGGCTTCAAAAACCCTTTTTTTGCTTTGAAAGGTTTTTGTAAAACACATTTACTCTATTTTTTTAAATGGACAGTAGGCATCTACTAAGATTTTGACTGCACTTTGTTGTAGACTCTGGAAGAGAGATTTCCAAAATCGGGGAAATGTCCAACTTTTATGGTTTGAGGTGAAGATGTTAGTACGCTGGTTGGCTTGAAAAGGTTCACATATTGAAGCAGCAGGTAGAAATGCAGTAGAGAAGAACTGTGGATCATTCAAGTCAATACTGGTGTTTTATTGACTTGTATGATGTGATGTCTGGCTGCAAGAGTGTCAAGTGCAGTTCTTACAATCAACCAACCAATCTCACACTTAGGGATGGGAAGTACTTGTATTACTTTATAAAAATCTCATCAATAACTATTCATAGCAATACCTGGTTTAATTCTTTCATTTAAACATGTTAATTTGAAAAGTTGGTTTCGATACTATTTATTCAAAACACATGAAGAGGAACTTTTAATATTTCCTTAATTTGAAATCAGTCACTTAAAGAGCTTACGTTCTATAGTTTTAAGAATTCTTCTGACTTTTTGTTGTGTTACATCAATAAACAGATGCCAATAACAGTTACTTTCAATTATTTCAAGATTAGATCAAGTTAGAATGAAACATGGGACATTTATGAGATGTATTTGTTTTTTTAAATTGCCATCTTTACTGTAGGATCATAGAAAACAGTTTCTGCGCACTTCTGTAGGAAGTGGTAAGCTGAGAAACCACACAGACTGACCACATAATTTGAGAGATGGGTGCTTGTCAGCATCTGTGAGTGTGTCCCCAACTCATCCTTCCCTTTCTCCCACCCCAGGGCGGGGTACTTGTTTCAGGATGCTCTCCATTCTCTGCTGGAAGCTGCTGTGCTTTGGGCAGAGGTCATACAGCTGAGCTAGGTATGCACAGCCATGCTCTAGGGCATGTTAAGGACCTGCTGGGATATTTACCCTTTATGTCTCTGATGGATTTCCATGAGTTATTAATAGTGGCTCTAAACCTGTTGGTAAAAAGCATCTTGTTCAAAATTGCCTTTCTAGTGAAAGTATACTAGATATTCATATGGGATGGAAATTTGTAATAAAACTGCCCATCATATCTTTGTTTCCCATTTATTAAAAGTCATTAGACTCTAAATCCAAAGAATCAGTGCAGGATTGAACAGCTGGTTTCTATATTAATGCTTAAAAGCTTGTGCCAGCAAACTACACGTGAATGTGGATCAGAAGGTTTTGGGTTTCTTAAGAGAAAAAATTCAACGTATGTAAATTTTTTTTCCTTCATGAGTCATCCATGCTAAAGAACATAAAAATGGGTTCATTTTGGTTCATGTTTTAAGAAAAAACTATATTAGGGTAGAAACACTGTTACTCAGTGAATGCTGTGTTCCCTGTGTTCACAGAAATAATCCTGCAATAAACACTGTTGTCCTGGAGGGCTTTTCTCTGATAAATACGCAGACATGAATATGCTAAGAAAACCAGCTGTCAGTAGAAGTTGTTTTGCTTAAATGGATCAGGCTCCATGCTAGGAGACTAAATGGTCATTTCTTACTGGTCTGGGAGCTGTGCCAGAGGGTTCTTCGTGACTGAGGGTGGTATGCAGAGTTTGGTGACTGCATTTAACCTTCTCAGGCAGGCAGGGGAGGATAACAAGAACCTGATCTGAACTCTTAGGCTTTGAAATGTTCCTGTATGTTTTTCACTGATGGAAGAAAAAAATTGAAGAGAAAATGAAACGTGTTTGCATTGAGGTGTTTCCTGTCTGTTACCTGTACTGGGAGTTGGAAGAGGAAAACCATAGAATATTACCCACTTACTATCGAGTACTGTCTCTTGCTATGTTTGAGACACGGGAGCTGTGGAGGGCTTTACCTCTGAAGTTGGCATGCCATGCTGCCACCAATAGAAGCCTGCTGTTTCAGACAGATTCTGCATACACAGTCATTAAATGAATGGCTGTGCTTAGGTCTTTTTATATGCCTGCTTTGTAGAAGTTAGAACATCTTCAATTTGGCATAACATGTGATTATTCATGTGAGTTGATGATTTCAATAGAATTGTTAGTAATCATCCATGGCAGTCTATGGCTTCTTCAAATCTCAGAACATCTTTGCAGACTTGGGAAGCAGGAGGAATGACCATTGCTTTGCAGTGCTTCCTGTTCCATTAAGCTTCGTTTGTTCCAATGTTTGGCCTGGCCAGTGCATCAGACATATTTACTGCCTGCTGTGTGTGCCATGCCCTTGTCAGCCAAGTCTTCAGAAACTGTAGCCAGTACCATAACCTGATTGCCAATCTAGCTCTGCTTTGTACTCTTTTTGTGTCCAAAAAATAATCTGTTTTGCTACTACCAACTTTTGATGACGTGTTGACAGCTTCAGAAGAGATCAGGACAGACTGGGACTGGTAGTCAAAGCAGATTGACTTGTACTTCTATTCCAGGTGTTCAACTGCACTGATTGTTCTTTTTTTTTTTTCCTCTGAAGCTGCTATAAAGCAATTAGTGAAA